GTCGTTGTGGTTGGCGGGAACAATGATGTTAGTGGGAACTTGTGCACAGCAGAACTGCTCTCATGCAGCACGGAAGACAACGGCGTCGAGAACTGGTCGTGGCGCCGACTTGCCCCAATGATGAAACCTCGCACTTATCCTGGTGTCGCCTACTTTCGCGGTCGCGTCGTCGTTGCTGGCGGTGACTCTGGCTGCATCCATGATATTGAGTTCCTTCGTCTTCCTGCTGACGACAACGATCCCGGTCAGTGGACTCAACTTGATGCACTTCAATATGCCACACCCCTGAAAAGTTCACTAGTTGTATTGAATGAGAGGCTTGTCCTGGCAGGTAAGATCCTTTCACGCGAATTTAGATGTCTGTAGTGGTACTGGCAAACACACGAGATTAGTTTTTTTAAAGTCGCTAATGCACTGCCAATTCAACCGATTTTCTCGTTTTGTTTAGATTTGTTCGGAAAAGTACACGTATTTCTTCAAGCATCAGAGTCAAATGTAAGCACAGTAAATTTAACAATTCATTTCCTAATATGCACAAAATAACCTCGCGCCCATTTTTTTAACTTAGGCGTTGACACCGGAGGAGTTTACATACAAGCCGATTTTCACCATTCAAAACGTTGACTTCGATGGACTTTTGGCGCTGCGTAAACGGCGTTAATCGGTTTGCTAGCCTTCGTGCCATTCGAGTTGATAACAACGTTTGTTTGACTGTTATTAACATCGTGGTGCAGTGTCTGGTGTATCGGGTTCAGTCAATAAAGTTCTTAAAGTGTTAAATACAATGTTTGTATAATATAAGAGGGGTATGATTAAGAGGGGTTGAATTAAGAAAACAATTATTTTTTTTCAATGGCTTGGCAGATACATTGGAACTGTCTTATAGAGTAAACGTCAGACAGTTTGGAGAAGGTGGTGGAACGTAGTGACCTTAGCGATTTCTTCCACTAAAAAAAATTAATTTTTCTCATCAATTTTGGTGCTTACAACACTGCTACTCACGATTAGTCAGTAGTCGGTATACTTCCACCTCGATAGTCATGATGGCCCTTCCAAAATGTAAGTCCAGAATTTGTAAAACGCGCCTCGGAGATGTCAGTTAAGGCTTGTCTACGTCCAAGCACTAGTCCTATTACCCAACGAGAATCACTGCTACTTTTGAAGTCCACACTTATGACTGAGGCAGCTCAATTTCAACGTACTTCATTTGCGTGTGTGTGGGTGTGCAGCTTAAATTGTAGTACTTCAATTATGCTTCTGCTTAGACAAAGTAAACCAATGTCATTTTGGTTCAAGAGCCAAATTTTTTAACAAAAAAACGTTTACACCTACTCCAAGTGCTCGAACACATGCAATTACATCAACGCGTTTTTTGCAGCTCTGCGAAACGTAGCATAATGATACCACGCCTGCGCCATAATTAGTCTGGCACGACTGTACCGAGTGTGCGACAGAGTGCAGAAACGACTTGGTAGAGTGGAATATCTTGTTATTACTATCTCTGGTAAATCCAGTAGCTTCCCCTCGGGATAGAAATCGATTGCCGCGAGCGCCAATCATACCGCCTGCTCATGGTGGCGGTCGATTCATTATTGCACTGAAGACGGCAACCGACCCAAACTAATGCGTAAGCAGAACATTGAAAGTAATACTTGTGAGATTTTAAGCTATTCACTTTTGAGTTGATGTCACACTTGTGATTTGTTCATGTGGTGTCTGTCAACCTCAATTCGTGGAATCCGTCATCGGGTCTGCAAGAGGAGGTTACAGTAAGAGAAATTTTGCAAAATGGGTTTGTTTAATGCTAGACGCCTCTATCATATTGACAAATTGCACCACACTACCCACAGGTTGTATTAGTTGAGCTGACCATACGCCTTCGGCGACTTTGAAACAATTTTTAACACAAACGCGCTAAAGTGATTAGCAAGTAAAACCTCCTAATTTCTAAATTGTCGTATCATCGCGCATTAATTAGTCACCGGTTGTACTAATAATCGATTGAACGTATGGATCATCTATTTCTAATATCTGATACAACATTTCGAAAGTAGTTTGCAGGGCAGTGCTTGCATTTGAATTGAAGTCAAGCATATTCTGCGCAATTTACATTGCCTCTCTCTCCTGTAATATGTTGATTTTATTAAGAAGTTAAGATATTTTTTTGCTACTATTACGTAAAAAACGATTTAGCGGGAAATATACACTGAGCACATAATTCGATTGGACCAAATAGCGTCTTCCAAGGCCATGATTCACAGGTACATGAAGCGTTTTGTTTGCAAGACAGGCACTCGAGTTGTTGTAGATCAATACATCCTAAGATCTGTGGCGCAAGGGCCAAATGCGTTACCAAAGGGCATCGCTACAATCCAACTTGCAATTATGGAGGAAGATTTGCAGAGAGAGTGAGATTTAGGGAGCAGTTTGTTGTGGAAATGCCGAGCCACTGGTTTAACACGTAACAAGTAACATTCACTTTGCAGTTTCAAGGTAGCCATCTCTGATCCGAGCACTCAATATCACGCACCCTATCAAATAGTGCCTACTTAAAACTGAAACATGCAGTGCATAATGCAACAGTCTCAGCTTGTCCATAATACTAACCACTGAGTCAGGAGATGACTTGCAGGCGTCGTGCCTTCTACTGAGGATCTGCCTAGTTTTACTTAGCATCGTTTTAATGTTAACGGGAAGCAAACTAGACAACCAGCCATAAGCAGACCAGGTAAATTTTAAATCACAAGGATAATGAGCAAGTGTTTGCGGTATCTGTGCAGAGTGAGCTTTTTTATATGGCTGATCGTCAGTAAAGCACCACTGATGTTACCGTCACAATTCAGTTAGGCGAGCTGAATGTATTTGCTGTCGTAAGAGAGCAGTCTAATGTAGGGAAAGGTTGATGGCACAGCACAGCTCTTTTAAACAGCTTGCAAAATTTTCAACCAGGCGCCACGACAGGCCACCAATCGGAAGTGCTTTGACTTCATGAGCCACGAATATTCGGGGTCGCATATATGCACCACCAGTGAGCGAGTTTGAAATTTTAGCCCTGAAACAAAGTAGCCAAAAATTTTGAGTGATTTCTGTTTTGAACTCTCTAGTTAATATATATTTCGATGTGTATTGCACAAGATTATGGGCAATGTATGCGTGGCATTCTTAATTTCATGCGTTTGCCAAGCCTACAGTCGTCATTTTGTGAGCAAACATGGTGGTAACTTTTACAGCCACATCTGCTTAATGCCTCGTCTGTTTATTAAGGACATTGGCCATTTGCGAAAGTTTGTGCAGTTTGGTGTCATGTCAGTTAATGTCGCCGACTGTAACTTGGTTAAACGTGCTTTAATGGCAACATTTACTTGTTCACAGAAGATATTAGGTCCACGAAATATTGCTACGATGCAAGTCACCGCATAAAAAATTGCACTTTTTTTCATAAAAATATTGAATACCAGACAGGCTGAATACAATTTGATCGTTACTATATTTGGTAAGTAAATTCCACTATGTACTGCATTTGGCAAAGTTGCATTTTTCACACAAATCATGAAACTGGTTTGTGCCATTGTATATTTGTATTCAACTTGACGAACATGTTTGATTTAAAAGCGTTTAAATGAAAAGAAGATATTTGAAGAATCTGAAATAGTCAAGTTTTCATTGGTGGTGGTAGAAGAGGGAAAGTGAAAATGGCGAATTGCGATCACCTGATCTCGAAAAATATTAGTTGCGACTGATTATTGACTCGATTAAAATCACAACTTGGCACAAATCTAATGCCTAAATGTGTTTCAGTAAGGGAAACCGTGAAAAGCACGCAAATTATGTTGTGAACAGAACCTCAATCGATTTGTATACTTCAGAAAAGACATTTTTCGTCAGTATGTTGATGCGAATCCCCTTTTATCTGGCACGTCAGAGGCTTGCTAAAATGAAGAGAGGACTATGGCCTATGCAGAATGTTTTACTAAATGAAGTAGGGGTTCATGTAGAGAACGGGGCCACAGCTGAATTCGATGAGGTGGTTCCGCAGATGCTCAGATGCGCCCACTCATAGTTGTCTCATTAATCGGTTGTCGATAAGTTGAGTAACATACATTAAGCGATGAGTTGTTGCAGTGAACATACGGTCACTATTATAAGATGATCACTACAATCATGAGGTTTCTGCGTTTACGCAAACAGATATGAATCACCGAACCTGCACCGTGACATCCAAAGATGCGCTGAAAACTCAAGACAACGTTCCTTGAGTGGCAAGCAAGGGGTAGACTTCAATCTGCGTACAGCATGAGTGCAGAAACGGAATAATTTTACACCTAGAATTTAATTTCCAGGATTCGAGATAACACTGACACTGCTGATTTCAATGTACGGAGTACGTCACAGTAGTTTTTCATAGGACAGTCGGACAGTTTGTCAAACCAAAATGCAGATGCAAACAGAGAGGCAGAACCGAGCAACACTAGTCGCTTCTACTGGGAATTTCCGAATCCTTTCCACATTTAGTTCTGATCTAGATGTGGCGTTGAACACGCTAGTATCGCCTCTAAATGCTGCAATTGATCTTCTTATTCAGGCCACCACATCAGGATGTTGTGACACCAAGATTTGAGTGAAGAGACCGACTTAGGCGTAGACGTGAAAAGGTGTGTGGCTACCCGTCATGGGGTTCGTTCGTAGGTCAAATCACACATGCAGGGGTTTTCCCAACAGAACTCCTCACTGTATGACATGTCAACTTGAGGTTGCCTGTCGTAAATTTGATGTCAGCCTTAAAAATTGTAATCCCTCCTTATTAGTCTCAAACATGGTGCAAATTTGAACCCGCACTAGATTCAAGTGTTAGCATTTCACATTTCCATTTTCAACATTCGAAATTTACATGACTGCCAGATATATTTTGCCCATATTAGGATTCGCCACTTAAGAAGTACACGAGGAAGACGATGTGCACAACTGATAACTTGCCCAGTGCACTCCTCCCATGAAGCCCAAAATCGTGTTGGTGGTTGCAAGTCTCTTGAGCACGATGAATCGATGGCGGTGTGCGGTTGACACTCATTTACACCTTCTTACAGAGGTTTCTATTATGTTGCATTTAGTCAAAATCGATCTAACTGAGCTGAAGTAATGATCGAGCCTAATATGGTCGAATTTGATTCAGTGTTTAAATTATACTGTAAAAGTACAAGAAGCATGTTTTCTTAGAGCTTCGTAGGTGGTTCACGGCAAGAGCGAACCACATCATAAGGCCCACAACGAATTCTGTCTGAAGCGTGGTCTTGACATTTGTCTATCGAACCTACTGCTTATCGTTTGAGGTTTTGATTACATTCGAGCCACAATTGGTGCGCTGTGAAGTAAAGTAACTCTTTACGAAAACATGCCACAGTAATTGCTGCTTACTAGCAGCACAAACGGCTCTTTAAAAAGGCGATATGTTATGCGACGACATTTAAATTTGCTTAACTTGATGATGCTTATCGTGAGTTGCCAGTCATTGCATAATTACGTTATTACAGTCGCACCTAACTCCGTACATAACAAAACTATTCTATTTGTAATGCAAAAAAAGGCATTCAAAATGCCCATATTTCAAATCGGATGCTTGGTAAGTGGTTTAAAATGCTTAGAGCATAACAAGTGTTTGCAATTCATTTTATAGCTCGACGGTTCACGAGATATCGGCAGATTTTACCTTAGAATTTGGTATTTACACATAGTTTATTTGCACAGAAGTACACTTTGTAAACACATCCAACTTCGTATTAGGTTGACTGTGTAATAACATGTATTAGAACATGTACAATTTGCAAGGGGTGACTGGGCTGTCGGCGTGTCATTGGTTTCCTTTCTTTTAGTTAGCGAGCATGTCATTAATTAGGCTATGCCTCCATGCTCTACGCATGGCGATTTATTGACCAACTGACAGACAGTAATGGACAATTGCGTTTAGCTCTGCTGCTTTCTGGTGAGGTACTGTATTTGGTGGCTTTCCACAATGAAAATAGTTTCATCCACAATCAGAAAAAAGTAATACCTATTCTTAAGGAGTTATGTCACACAGAGGTGAACTTAACCGATCAATGCTATTAACAAAGTGAGCAGTGACGCAGTGACAACTATAACAGGATGTCATAAATAAGTTTAGGAAAAGGATGCAGAGTTCAACAGATGTAGACTTCTACTGGATATTGGTTGCTCTTTACAGAATCCATCACCTGCACACAATGGCAAACTTACTTGACTGACTTTGCTAAAGAAATGATCGTTTCCACCTGGATAGTGCAAGTCAGCACCACATAACTCAGATGAGGTAGCTATCCCCGTTCAACTTGGTCAAACGCCAGGTTTATTTACCATGAATTCTTTCGCATCACGTTTTCCCGATGCAGCGCTTGAAATAGACATTTATTGCATTAGGCAATAACATAGATTTGGACAATTTCTTGCTTACCACATAAATTATACTTATTCCGGTCTACTCAAGCCATTTAATCAGGTCAGAAAGAAAAGTTGAATTAGCAATATCGAGCAAACAATTTACCAAAATGCCTTTTCGTTAGCAAAGGCATAGGTTTGTTGATGTGAAATCAAAAGGCGACCATATCATTAATT